TGATTCTGATGTGTGAGTGATGGCTGCTGGGGTGAGGTCAGTGTGCAGCAGTTGACAGTTGTAGTAAGCAGATTGAGGAGTGGGAGTGAGGAATTGTCAGGGTTGGTGATGACTTGAGGGACTGGTGAAGTCAGATAATGTTTGATACAGTAATTGCATTCTATGTGGATTACTGATTTTGTAATAATAGCAGTAATTAATATATAACAAGCACTTATGTGCCACACATGGACTGAGTGCTTTTTAAGTATTATAAAATTGGTTTATCTTAAAAGTATAAGGATGAGGAAACTGAGACTGAAGTAAGTTCTTCCGATTGTCACAGCTAGAAGATGGAAGACCTGGGATTCAAATGTACATTGATTTGGCTCCACACCTCATATATTTCCCCTGTGCCACCCTGTTCCATACTGTTTGATGCACTCTTGCGAGGACAGCTGAGAGGCTGTCACTGAGTGGCACTCTCTCTGTCAGGATCCATTTGTGTTTCCACAGAGCCCTGAGGTCAGACCACTTAGTTGAACCTTCAGGATCGTTTTTTTCAGACTCCAGCCCAACTTGGCCCGATAATCACTGGCAGTCTTTGGACCCTCACTCAACTTAGGGCTCCTGGGAAGTCTGGAGTTCTAAGAAAACGGAGGTGAAGCTCATTGTGAACATGCCAGCCAAAAAGAGCTTGTCTCATAGATCCCATATCCAGTTCAAATCCTGGCTTGGCAGGAATGTGACAGTTCCTGTGAGTGGGGAGAGGGAAGCCCAGAAGCACGAATCTTCTCAGAGGTGGACTTGCTGAAACAAAGCATGATCTTTTGCAATGCGAACAATGCATGGCTCATGTCATGTACTCAAAGGCTGTTCCCTGTAGTGGGAGAGGATTTATTTTTTTAAGTTTTTATTATAGAAAATTTCAAACATACAGGAAAGTAGAGGAAAGTAGAGAAAATGTTATAATGAACCTACAAATGCCCTCATCACCCAGTCTCAATAATTACCAACCATTTGCCAGTGTTGTTTCACCTATCTCTTCTCACTTGCTTTGTTCTAGTTAGAATATCTTAAAACAAATCTTGGATACCATGTCATTTTACCCACAAATACTTTAGCATACAAATCCAACTGATGTGGACTTTTTTCCCCCACATAACCCCCAGGCCATTACTCACCTAACAAAAGTTACAGTAGCTCCTTAATATCATCTGCTATTCAATCTATAGTCAGAGATCTCTGATTATTTTGGACAAAGAAAGTTGTCATCTGCTGTATCAGTAAACAAAGGAAGTTGTGGTCAACAATCCATCAGCCACTGCACTCGCCCCCACTGTGCACCCTGAGGGGATTCAGGATGGAAAAAAACCAGGATACTGGCCCTAGATATTTAAGGTGCATATCAAAGCCATGATTTAATGAGCCCAGACTCTGAATCTTCCCATACATAGAGAACTGCTAAATTCATTAACTTGAGATGTCTGGATTTTCTTTTTCTTTTCTTTTTTTAAAATTTTTATTGGATATAGTTGATTTACAATGTTGTGTTAGTTTCAGGTGTACAGCAAAGTGAATCAGTTATACTTATGCATATATCCACTTTTTTTTAGATTCTTTTCCCATATAGGCTATTACAGTGGATTTTCTTTAACAGTAATCTTTTCATGTTCCAGCTACCTATTTTTATTTTTTTTTGTAAAAACTCCTATATATCCTGGCTCCTCCCTTACCTTTTTGGAACAGTCTCTCAGAGCTATCTGAGAGGCTGCATCCTGGGCTTAAGTTCTCAGCAAGTCCGCCAAATAAAACATAATTCTCACCTTTTAGGTTGTGCATTTTTTTCAGCCGATGTTATCTAAAAAAATGACTTTTTAAATTTTCCTATGAAAATTAAAAAAATACAAATGTAGAGAAAGTAGTATAAAGAAGCTTCATTTAGGGGACTTCCCTGGTGGTCCAGTGGTAAAGAATCCGACTTCCAATGCAGGGGATGTGGGTTCGATCCCTGGTCAGGGAACTAGGATCCCACATGCCACGGGTCAACTAAGCCTGTGCACCACAGCTACTGAGCTTGTGCACCTCAACTAGAGAGCCCATGTACCACAAACTACAGAGCCCATGCGCTCTGGAGCCCATGTGCCATAACTAGAGAAGAGAAAAACCCCACGCCACAACTAGAGAGAAACCCTCGTGCCGCAATTACCCATCAATTTTCACAATTATCAACTCATGCCCAGTCATTTGTCGTCTATCCCTTCCTCCAATATTTTTTTTCTTCTGCTGGATTATTTTGAAGCAAATCTCAAAGATTTTGTCATTTTATCCATAAATATTTCAATATGTAAAATTCCTTTAATAAAAATAGCCACGGTGATATTATCACACCTTAAAAAATTACAATACATTTTAAAGTATCATTTTATGTGGATTGGATTGGTAAGATTTAGAGGCTTGATCAGATTCAGATTCCTTTTTTTGTTTTTGTTTTCTGGGGAGCAAGACTACTTCCCAGGTGATATACTTGATCAGGAGGCACATAATGTCTGGTTATCTGTTTTGTGATGTGAGCAGCCATTGACGATTGTTTCTTAGATCCATATTTCATTATGTGTGCAAAATGGACATTTCTATTTCTACCATTCCTTTACTTTGTCGACTTATAAAAATGCATAATGTGAGAGTTGAGAGTTGTCTTATTTGGGGCAAAATGAGGACCATAGCCCAGGAGACTGTTTTATATAGCTCTGAGAAACTGCTCCGAGAGCTAGCAGAGAGGGTCACTATTATATATGATTCAGGTGAAGGGGGTGGTACGTACAGTCAAGCACACATTTTGGCAAAGTCTTGCTGCTAGTCCTGCGAAGGTTGCTGCTAGTCACAAGGAGCAGATGTCTCTGTTAATGATTTTAATGCCTTTCTAGATATGAGGAGATGCAAGAATTTGGGCTCATAAAATATTCTCCTGAAAATATCTTACTATCTGCAGGGCTGTTCTGCCAGTTTTTGCCAGAGCATCAAGTGCCTCATTCCTGATCTCCACCCTGAACTCCTTTCAGGATGTGTTGAAGGTCAGCAGCTGCAGTGGCTAGTGACTTAACCCTTGTAGAGGCAGATGGCAAGTGCCAATTTTTAGTTGGCAACTTGTAGCTGGAATAATTATATAAGCAGAAAAAGAAATTCCTTCATGAAGTGTTTGGTTATGCTTGACTGACTCTTTTGCTTTTTGACAAGTTTCAAAAATAACGGTTTGATTCCCTAATACTTTCCAAAGGTGCTAGAAGTGTTCTCTCTCTTGATCTGGATGGCAGATGTGAAAAATAGGGGAAAGTGCTGTATACTTAATATTAATGTACTTTACACAAGTTATACCACACAAAAAAATTAGCAAAGAAGTAACCAAAATGTTGTTTATATTAGAAAGTGTATGTTAGAAGCAAAAATTTTAAAAGTCCATCATAAAAAGATACTGGGGAGGATAGGTCTAGGGTAAAAGGGACACAGTCCCCAATGTATGAGTCTTGATTGGAACATGCTTTCAACAAAACAGCAAGAAAAGGTTTTTCTGGGGTAATTGGGAATTTTGAATATGAGCTGAATATTAAAGTGTTATAGAATTGCTAATAATTTTCTCAGGCATGATAATAATCTTTTAGGAGATTGATGTTATGAATTTAGGCATGAAGTGTCATGACATCTGCAACTTTCAAATGGTTCAGCCAAAGAAAAAGTATATACACCAGTATACTCATATATATGTATGCATTTACATGTAACTATATGTTTATATAGAAAGATTAAACAAATATGGCAAAATACTAATTGTTGAAACTAGATGGAAGGTATATGTGTATTTCTTGTACTAATAATTCAACTCTTTATGTTAGAAAACTCAATAAAAAAATTAGAGGGGCTTCCCTGGTGGCGCAGTGGTTAAGAGTCCGCCTGCCGATGCAGGGGACACGGGTTCGTGCCCCGGTCGGGGAAGATCCCACATGTAGCAGAGCGGCTAGGCCTGGAGCGGCTAAGCCTGCGCGTCCGGAGCCTGTGCTCCGCAACGGGAGAGGCCACAACAGTGAGAGGCCTGCGTACCGCAAAAAAAAAAAAAAAAAAAAAAAAAAAAAAAATTAGAAAACAGTGGCTTCTGTCAGTAAGTGACTTAGGTCTTAAGGTTTATTAACTAGAACCAAATCCACTTACTATGTTGTAGTTAAGACAAAGTTTCCATTGACAGTTCCCTTTTAAGAATGGGAAGCGGGAATTCCCTGGTGGTTCAGTGGCTAGGACTCAGCACTTTCACTGCTGGGTCCTGGTTCAATTCCTGTTCTGGTAGCTAAGATCCCGCAAGCCATGGGGTGTGGCCCCCCCAAAAAAGAACTGTAAGCAAAGAACAGTGAAAAAGCTAGCAGTCTCCCTTTTTTTGGTCTTACTTATGGATGTTCTCACTACTTGTGATGGGCTGGTCACAGAAGCTCAGAGCAAAATCATTAAAAAGTTACTTTGCTTTTTACTAGCAAATAAGAAAAATATAAACATTCAAATTACTTATAATTTTACCATCACCCAAATATTATATCTGTTAACATACAGCTCCTTCCAGATAATTTTCTCCATGTGCATGAATTCATTCATGTATGTGTGTATGTACACACATATTGTTCAATGAAAATGGACTCATACTGTTTGGTACATATTTTTATTTTTACTTAGCATTTTAACACATTTTTCTACAGTAGTTTAATTTTACATGACATTATGTCTATGGATGCCCTATAAAGTATTTAGCTGTCCACAATTGTTATCAAGATGTTTCTAAACTTTTTTTTTTTTTTTGGTATTAGCTGTGGTAAAACTCCTGGATTTAAATCTTTGTGCAACACAGGATGATTTTTTTATAATGTAATTCTAGGAATAAGTTTTTGGGTCAGTTGCATGGACACTAAATGATGTATATGTCCATGTGTGCCATTGACACACTTCCTTCTCTCATCGGTCCCTCTGTCAATCTGTTTTTTCAGATCTCTGCCCCTTTCCCAGAAGAACCAGAAATGACCAAGTCCCTGGTGAGTTCTTATTTGTTCATGTATTTATTTGTTGCTTTCTTTATTTTTTAGTGGATTTTAGGAGGCATCTATTAACCCATATAGTAAATGTGTAAGTATAAATAAATGAAAACTAAGATCAGAGAAAGTAAAGAAGAGATTATCAACTCCAAGTCAAGCTTGGATTATAGGTATATATGAGTTGTGTGGCTTCACACAGTTATGAACTTTGAACTGTAAAATTGTCTCTGATCTTCCTGAAAGACATAGCAATGATGGAAGTGAAATACATGGTTTATATTGTTGAAAAGTAATTTATTTCATCTATAGTAACTATTTCCTGGTTTTTGATGTTTGAGAAAATTTTTGATAGATCTTCAGATGAATGGAGATAGGACAGTGTCTTTAACAACCCTGTTAGAAGTTCACTAACAGGTTTTCTATAGTGACTTACAAAGTAGTGCTTTTCAACTTGCACATGACTTCAGATTCTGATTTAATAGGACTGGGATTCCCACAGGATGTTAGTGCTGCTGGTGCAAGGACCACCTTGTGAGGCAAAGTTTTGAGTGAATGGATGTTGAGTTTTGTCATTTGCTTTTTCTGCATCAGTTGACATGGTCAGGTGATTTTCCTTTTTAGCTTATTGCTGCGGTAGATTACATTGATTGATTTTCACATATTGAGCAGCCTTGCAACCTCTGAATAATTTCCACTTGGTCATGACATACACTTCTTTTTATATATTTGTATTTGCTAGTATATTTTTAAGGATTTTATATCATGTTTAGGAGGGATATTGTTCTGTTTTTTTCTTTCATTACTACTATGCATGGATGAAAGTCCCAAAACTCCACTTGGCTTTTTTCTTTTTCCATACCACTCCATTGGAGCGTGATGGGGCCCCTCTGTTCAGCCAGGCAAGAGTGGGAATCTAAGCTACGCACTGGGTCTTTGCTGATGGGCAGGGGATCAGGCCCAGAGTTTTCTGTTTATTTATTATGTTTGGCTGGAGCATGTTTTGCCTAAAGGTTTTCTGTTTCTAGATTGCCCCTTTCCTGGTCTTTTAGCTAGAGAGAGCAGACTTTTCTGTGAGTTTTTTTGTTGTGCCTTTGTTGGTGTTTCTGGGTTGTAGGCTTTTCTAGTACTTGGTCAGGGCTGTATGAGTCAATAGACTTCAGGAAACTCATGCTGTGTAGTTCCTTGGTTCCTGAGGTCCCTAGACAGTTTGCTTTTTTTTCTTTAAGCTTTCAGTCTTCTTATGTTTGCTTTATGGATAATGTCTATGGTTACTAGAAATACTTAGTGGGTGAATAGGGACAAGTGCATCTACTCTATTTTTCCAGGGGTTGAAGTCAGTTCATTGATTTTTTTTTAAAGGAGGAGTTATTTATATATTAAGCATGGTCTTTTTTTTTTCAATTTTTTAACCTCTTTGTTCTTTGCATTTTAACTTTTAAAAGTAAATATTTAATTTTGAATATCATTAAGGTTATAGATATGTTTACTCAATCAAATAGTTTTTTGAAGCTTCATTTAAAAAAAAACAAACCACCTGTTAGCTGCTCTCTTATCCCTCAAATTGCAGTTTCTTAAAGGTAATCACATCACTCTGAATTCAATTGAACTAATTTTTTTAGTATTTACGTTCCCATGTCTAAATAACATGTTTATATTGGTACCTTTTGGTTTTCAGTTTTAGGCAGTTTCTACTGACTTAGCACAATAGAAAATAGGGATTTAACTCTCTTTCAGACACTTAAGGCTTCAACACTTATACGAACATTTCTTCTTCCCCTCCTTCTAATATAGGTATATCATAATTTTGGGTAAATCAATAGGCTGTATTTATTATTATGATTATTTTAATTATATTCACAGCTGAACCATTTATTTTACCTTTTATGCACTATTTTTTGTTTTACCTGGAATTAATTATTGTTTGGTTTAATCATTTGTTTCATTTTCCATATTTGGATCACTATTTCAACTCCACATTCTTCCCAGGTATATAAATATCTTCTCAATATGTTAAAATATATTAGATAATAACAGTAATCACAAACATTAATATAGGCTTACTATATGCTAGGCACTATAAACATTCTCTATTAACTGATTTAATCATAACCCCTTTGAGGTATCTATAATCATTATCCTCATTTTACAGAGAAGGAAACAGATCCACAGAGAAGTAACTTGCCCTGGGTCACACTGCTAGTAAGTGGTGAAGCCAGAAGTAAAACCCAAGCAATTTGGCTCCAGAATATAGGTATTTATTTCAGCTGTTGAAAGAAGCTTCCCTTAGAGTCTTTGACCTGCTTGAAGTTGCTCTCTATTTGATACTCATCTACTGACTTGGGGGTCTCCCTTTGGCATGATACTAGGAATTCCTTTCATGTCTCTCAAGTATTAGAGCTCTTGTTTTCTGGCTGTTTCCTGATTTATGCTTTCAGTTTTAGAGAATATTATCCAGTAGCTCTCTAGAAAGTATTTTGTGGAAAGTAAATTTTTTGAGACCTTGGATGTCTGGAAATATTTTTATTTTACCCTCAGTAATTTCATAGCTAATTCTAGATTGTAAGTCATTTTTACTCAGAAATTTTAAGCCACTCTTTTTACTTTTACTATCCCATCTTTTCTTACTGGTTGCGATAGGCAGAATAATAACCCCCAAAGGTATCCACATCCTAATTCCTGAAACCCGTGAATATGTTACTTCACATGACAATAGGGACTTTGAAGATGTGATTAAGTTAAGGATTTTGAGATGGGGTGATTATTCTGGGTTATCTGGGAGGGCCCAGTGTAATCACGGTTCCTTATAAGTGAAAGAGGGAGGCAGAAGGGTCAGAGTCAAGGGGAGATTTGAAGATGCTACTCTGCTGGCTTTGAAGATAGAGGAAGGGACCATGAGCCTCTTAGAAGTCATATAAGACAAGGAAATGGATTCTCCCTTATAGCCTCCAGAAGGAGTGCATCCAACACACTGATTTTAGCCCAGTAAGACCTATTTTCAACTTCTGACCTCCAGAACTGTAAGATAATAAATTTGTGTTTTAAGTTTGTGGCAATTTGTTGCAGCAGCAATAGGAAACCATTACAGATTTTGGTACCTGGAAGTGGAATGATGCTGTAACAAATACCCAAAAATGTCAAATGGCTTCGGAATTGGTAATAGAAACTGTAAAAATTTTGAAGAGTATAATAGCAAGAGCCTAGATTTCCTCGAACAGACTGGTAATAGAAATATGAATGTTAACTCTGCCAGAGGACTCAGAATGAAGTGAGGAGCACACTAGGAAAAAAGTTATATTGTTTTAGAGAATATTTCAATTATTATAAACAGACTATTGATAGAAATATGGGTGTTGATGGTGCCGCTGCTGAAGACTCAGAAGGAAATGAGGAACATGTTACTGGAAGCTAGAGGAAAAGGACATCTCTGTTATACAGTGGCAGAAAGCTTAGCTGAATTTTGTCCTGTAGTTATGTGAAAAGCAGATTTGTCAATGATGAACTTGTATTTTTCTCTGAGGAGATTTTCAAGCAAAAGGTTGAAGATGTAGCCTGGTTTCTTCTTCTTGGTTATAGTAAAATATGAATGTTAAGAGACAGATTGAAGGAAGAACTGTTGAGCAAAAAGGAACTATATTTGATGTTTTGGGAAATTTTGGGGCTATCAAGATTCCAAAAGATGCTAAAATTAGTTTAACTGTAGGAAAGTATGCTCTTGAGAGAAAGTCAAGGGTGTGGAAAGATGTTTGTATATATTTCTAGGTTTTTAGAAAAAAATGTAGGTATTTAGCAGGATGAATGGGGTGGAATGTTTTTAATTTTTTTTTTTTTTTTTGAACTGGAAGTCTCAATCTTTGCTGTTAATTTGATTGTTTAGTTTATTTATATTTAATGCAATTACTGATATACTTGAATTTATATCCGGGTTTTTTTTTCTTTCTTTCTTTCTTTTTAAATTAATTAATTAATTATTTTGGCTGCGTTGGGTCTTTGTTGCCGGGCACGGGCTCTCTCTAGTTGTAGCGAGCTGGGGCTATTCTTTGTTGTGGTGCCTGGGCTTCTCATTGTGGTGGCTTCTTTGTTGTGGAGCATGGGCTCTAGGCACACGGGCTTCAGTAGTTGTGGCACATGGGCTCAGTAGTTGTAGTGTGAGGGCTTAGTTGCTCCGCAGTATGTGGGATCTTCCTGGACCAAGGCTCGAACCCGTGTCCCCTGCATTGGCAGGCAGATTCTTAATCACTATGCCACCAGGGAAGTCCTATATCCAGTTTTATTAGTTTTATGTTTGAACTGTCTGTTTAATATTATTTTTACATTCCTTTCTTGACTTTCTTTTAGATTAGTCAAAATTTTAATTTTAATTTTGTTAACTTGCTTGTTATACATTCTTTCATTTGTTTCCCTAGATATTACAATATCCATTTTTAACTCATTATTACCTTTCCCCCTTCTCAGTAGATACTAAAACACCTTAATTCCATTTGCTGCATTTAAATTCTACACATATTTTAAACTTCACAAGATATTACTGTTACTGTTTTTGCATAGTCAGTATTTACAGTATTGTAAAGTGGGATTTGAGAAACTTCTTGAATCTTTGAGTTGCTGTCATTCACCATTACTTTTTCAAATTTTGCTTCTGCCTCATATTCTCCCTCTTTATCTTCTCAGACTACAATATGTTATTCCTTTTCACTGTGTTGTACATGTGATACGTCACATGCACTTGTGTTTATTTTATTAAAAAAAAACTCTGTGGTCTGGTTTGTATATTTTCTGTTTGCTTGTCTTCCATTTTAGTAATTCTGTATTCTGCAATTAAACCTCTCTCAGTTCGTAATTTTAGATACTGAATTTTTCAGTTTTCATTTGATATCTTTATTATAAGTCCCATTTTCTCTAATGAAATTCTCCATCTTTTCTTCTAACTCCAAAGTGCTGTAGGACTGCTTCTTTTGAATTCTTTTCCTCTGGTTTTGGATATTTGGCCCCGTTTTCTGATAGGCATAGGATTTCTTTTATTGTATCAAAACATGTATAAAGCATTGTAGAAGATCTAGATTATGATATCTTTCTCAATAGTGATTTCATCTTTCCCTGAGCAGATAGAGTAGAAGATGAACATCTTTATCCAGTCAGGCACAGTGTTATGTTGAATCAAGGCTGAGTTTAAGCCCTAATAATAGTCTACCTTTGGTTCACTCTGGCCATCTAAGATTTTCAGCTGAGAGCCTGGTTTGTCCTCTGTGGACCCTCCTCCTGATAGATGCCAACTCTGTCTTCTTACCAGACTACTAAAATTTTGCTTTGCTTTTCAGAGGTTATTCTGCTTAAGTTTTTAGTCTTCTGCCCATACAACCCTAGAATTTGACAGATGTCCTGAGGGGAAAATTGGCCATGTGTTTGAGTTCTGGTTTCTCTGTCACCCAACTGTAGCCTTCTACTTGTTCAAAGCTGGATTTTCACCTTTTGCCACACCCAGAATTGGTAAATACTCCCAGTGTAAAAGTGTCTGCGTACATCAACTTAAATCTTCAATGTTCTCTTGAGAGTCTTAGTACCTAACAAGCTTCCAGTACTTCCAAACAGATGATTTCAGTATTTCATCTGGCATTTATAGTTATTCTTGGAAGAAACACTGGACTGCCACAAACTATTGTATGCCATCTGGAAATGACAGTGCCTCAAAAGGGTCTCCTTCACATACCATATATATTGCCCATTTAAAGTGTGCATTCAGTGGGTTTTAGTATATTCATGGAGTTGTGCACCCTTTTTCACAGTTGTAGAACATTTTCTTTCTTTCCCTCCCTACTCCGACACCCCCCCCCCCCCCCCGCCGACATCCTTCCATTCCCCCCTAGCCCTGGGCAACCAGTAGTCTTCTTTCTGTCTCAATAGGTTTGCCTGTTCTGGACATCTCATATAAATAGAATCATATAATATGTGGTCTTTTGTGACTGGCTTCTTTCACTTAGCATAGTATTTTCAAGATTCATCCATATTGTAGCATAAATCAGTATACTTCATTTCTTGTTATGGCTGAATAATCTCTTGTATGTATATACCACATTTTAAAATTCATCATTAGTTGGCAGACGTTGCACTGGTTTTATTTTTGACTATTAAGAATAATGCTACTATGAACATTCCTATACAAGTTTCATGTGGATAAGTGTTTTTATTTCTATTGGGTATGTACCTAGAAGTGGAACTGTTGGGTCATATTATTCCTTTTGAGGAAGTATCAGACTGTTTTACAAAATGACTGCACCATTTTACATTCCCATCTTTACTGTATGAGGGTTCCAGTTTCTCCACTTCCTCACTAACACTTGTTATTATGTGTCTTTTTTTTTTAAAATTATAGCCATCCTAATGGGTGTATTTTTCTGATGACTAATGACTAATGATTTAAGCAGTTTTTTAAATGTCAGAATGAAAATTTTAATGTCATTTATTATTTTGCTACAAAATAATCATAAAAATACAAATAGGCACAAACAGCATTTTTAAAATTATAATCATCTTAGTGAATTTGAAGGGTATCTCTTTGATTTGAATTTCAATATCCCTTATGACTAAAGATATTGAGACCCTCTCATGTGCTTTTTTGGCCATTTGTATATCTTCTTTGCAGATATGTATATTCAGATTCTTGATCCATTTTTAATTGGATCATTTATCTTTTTATTGAGTTGTAAGAGTTCTTTATCTATTCTATACACAAGTCCCTTATCAGATATATAATTGCAAACATTTTCTCTTAGTCTTTGGGTTGTCTTTTCACTCTCTTTTTTTAAAAGTACACCTTTTATATGTTTGTTTGTTTGTTTTGGCTGCGCCACAGGGCATGTGAGATCTTAGTTCCCCAACCAGAGATCGAACCCATGCCCCCTGCAGTGGAAGCGCAGTGACCTAACCACTGGACCACCAGAGAATTCTCCCTGTGTTTTCACTTTCTTGATGGTATCCTTTTAAACACAAAGTTTTTAATTTTGATAAAGTCCAATTTATCTATTTTTTTCTTTGGTTGCTTGTGCTTTTGATTTTATATCTAAGCATTGACATATATATGCTACCAAATGTAAAATAGTTATTTAGTGGGAAGCAGCAGCATAGCACAGGGAGGTCAGCTGGGTGCTTTGTGATGACCTAGAGGGGTGGGATAGGGAGGGTGGGAGGGAGGCTCAAGAGGGAGGGGATATGGGGATATATGTATACATATAGCTGATTCACTTTGTTGTACAACAGAAACTAACACAGTATTGTGAAGCAATTAGTCTCCAATAAAGATCTATTAAAAAAAAAAGAAATCATTGCCAAATCCAATGTCACAAAGATATACCCTTAGCTAAAACTTAAGAACATTTAGGTCTTTTGATCCATTTTGAGTTTATTTTTTTAATATGGCATGAGGTAGGAGTCCAACCTCATTTTTTTGCATGTGGATGTCCACTTGTCCTAGCACCATTTGTTGACAAGACTATTTTTCCCCTTTTAAATTGTTTTGACACCTGTGTTGAATTATCAGTTTACCCTAAATATGAGGGTTTATTTCTGGATTCTTGGTTACATTCCATTGAATTCTATCGTCTATACTTATACCAATACCACACAGTTTATTGGAAAAAGAAGCCTATTTTATTCATCTTTTTTAAAGAAAGAATTGACTTAGTGGATTGATGAGTGCAAAGTGAAAAGCAGAAGATATATTCTAAGTGAAGTGTTAATGAAATATGGCATACATAGAAAAGAATGCACAAATCATGTATGCAGCTTGATGAGTTTTCACAGCTTATTCTTTTGTAACCAGTACACAGATAAAAACAAAACAAAATAAAACTCCAGAATATTATCAGAACCATAGAAAGAATGGCATGATACTTTTAATATTTATTTTTTCCTTGAAATAATAATGTAAAATTTAGGTATTTAGTGGGAATCTTATATGTCATATCATGTTAAAAATTATTAAAAATAAGTTTCTAAATATCTTGTTCCTGTCCTGCAATCCTGATCCTTTACATTGAATAAGCATGTGTTTTTCCAGGGATCAGTGTCTTTCAAGGATGTAACTGTAGACTTCAGCAGGGAGGAGTGGCAACAGTTGGACCTTGCTCAGAAAAGCCTATACAGGGATGTAATGCTGGAAAACTATTTCAACTTGATCTCAGTGGGTAAGCACAGCTCTGCTGGGTAAGGCTGTACCTAATTTAGTGTATTTTCTTTCTCAGTGGAATTTCTGAAATCTTTGAGATTTCTGAGGTACGTGGGACTTCTAAAGACTGCAGGACATCTGAAGTGTGTAATAGTTTTGTCCTTATTTTTTGTCCTATGTTCTTAACAATATTATGAATATACTTCTGTTCCCCATGAACTTTTCTGGAAAGTAAATGGAATATTTCATTGTATGACCTCTGAAATCAAGTATTTTATCATTTCCTGTTATTAGGGTGTCAAGTTCCCAAACCAGAAGTCATTTTCAACTTGGAGCGGGGAGAACAGCCATGTATGTTGGATGGTGAAATCTCAAGCCAGAGCTATCTAGGTGAGTAGGGAACAAAAAGCATAAGAGATAGTACAACCGAACTGCAGTTGTACTGGCAGAGGCTGACAACTTTGAAGTGCTATTATTATGATGTTTCTCAACATTCTGAACTTTTGGAACTGCATGGATAGAGTTGATATTGGCCCCTTGGACATCTAAATGCCATCCCCACTTCAGGCCCCTTCCAATATCAGTGTCTTTGTTGCTTGACTTTTTTTTTTTTTTTAGCAGAGTTCCCTGTGCTATTCAGTAAGTCCTTGCTGGTTGTCTATTAAATTAAATTAATTAATTAATTTAAAAACCATCTTTATTGGAGTATAATTGCTTTACAATGGTGTGTTATTTTCTGCTTTATAACAAAGTGAATCAGCTATACATATACATATATCCCCACATCTCCTCCCTCTTGCATCTTCCTCCCACCCTCCCTAGTCCACCCCTCTAGGTGGTCACAAAGCACTGAGCTGATCTTCCTGTGCTATGTGGCTGCTTCCCACTAGCTATCTGTTTTACATTTGCTAGTGTATATATGTCCATGCCACTCTCTTCATCCCACTTTGCTTGACTTTTTAGGAGGGATGTGCTACAACTACTGGTATGTTGGATTTAAGATACTGCCTTTTTGCTTTTCCTCCCTTTTTATAGCATTTTTTTATTCTTTTTACCTCCATCAAGGTCTTAAATCGTTTTCTTACACATTCAGGGGCTCATAGAGTTGCTTTTTAAAAAAATTACTGTGGGTCACACTCCTGCTGATTTCTTTTCATTGTTTTTCTTTTCCCTTAGTGCTTCAGAATTGTCACCTAGAGATGGCCTTATTATATCTTCTCCCATGCCTCTCCTCCAACTGTTGACTTTTGAGGGTACCATTACCTACAATTGGGGACAGCTTTTTATTGTATGTGATATTAGTAATTATGCTTCCTGACATTTTCTTCCTACCTGACTAGTGTAACACAACACTCACTAGGTCTTTCTGATTAATTTATTAATTTTGATATTTTACAAAAAGTTTCTGTACCTTGTGTGCAGGAAATTGAGTAAATTATAGTCCCCAGTTTGTAGTCAATATATTCATCATTCTGTTTAAGCTCCCCTTCTTATTTTATTTCTTTCATAACTTTTTTCTTTTTTTTTTTTTGCCACACCCTGCAGCATGCAGGATCTTAGTTCTCTGACCGGGATCGAACTGTGCCCCCCTGCAGTGGAAGCTCAGAGTCCTAACCACTGGACAGCCTGGGAATTCCCTATTTTACAATTAAAAATAAATTTTATTTTATTTCTTTACTTATTCCTTTTAATCCTCACTTCCTGTTTGTTTTTATTCTTCCCAGAGGCAACTGCTCTATTATATTTGATATGTTTGCAATCTATCCTTGTATTTGTGGGGTATTTGTAAAATTTAAATTGTTGGTCATTTTAATTTATAGAAATGGTACTGTGCTGTATGTCCTACTCAGTTTCTTATTTTTTTCTCTCAGAACTAAATTGGTTCATGTCACAATGTGTTTTTCTAGTTCATTTCTTCTAATTGACGCATACATTTCATAGTGTGTATATATACCACATTTACTTGTCCAACTTTCTAGCTACTACAACTAGTACTGTAATAATTTCTATTCTTATAGGAAATGAGAATTTCTTGAGGAAGAGTAGTGGGATTGTTTTATTACTGAGTATACTAATACTTTATTTCACTAAGTATAAACATGTTGTTTTCTAGATTGGATGTATTAGTCTGCAATCCCCTGAACATACAAGGGCATCAGTTTCTCCACATCCCTGCCCATATTTTTAATAATTTCACATAATGTGGCTAATCGGATGGATTTTAATTTCTAACTATTGTTTTAATTTGTGTTTCTCTAATAACAAAATATTTTGAACATCTTATCATGTACCTTGTAGTAGATCCTGACTTCATTTTTGGTATTTGACTGCTGACACCTTCTAAACTTCACCACTGTCTCTTCACCTTCTGCCCCACATCTGGGCAAACTGACAAGAAAGCCCAGGTGCTCTTTCCCTTGGTACTAGTGGGAAGTTGCACTCATCAGTCAGCTTAGTCCCATATCCCAACCACCATAAAAAACCCAAGCAAGTTTCCTTTTCTTGCTCTCTTAAGTCACTTTTGGAAGGATCTTTAGGCGATGACCACCACCAGGGGGTCTTTCTTCTCTTGTTCTGTGGCTTTACTGCTCTCTGGTGAGTATACACTTCGAGCTGTGTTACTTTATGCTACATTTGCTGAGTGCCACAAGTCTCTGTCATATTTTTTTTTTTTCTCTGTGGGTGGGTGAGGATATATTTATTCTCTCAGAGTATACTTAATAAATGGAAATAAGAATCAGAGTAAATAATCACATTTATATGTATATTTTGTAGGCTGATTAGCAATAAGTGAAATTGAAATAAAAATGACAAACATAAAAACATCAAAAAACAAATAACAGTTAAAACAATGATGGCAGGTACATTGAGAAACAGGTACAATGCTGAAAGCTCTGTAAGTTTAGCCAAATCTTTCTGGAAAGAACTCTGGAAACATATAATAAGTGATATTAAACTGAACATGCTTCCTGCCCTGGAAATTCTACTTTGGGGACATACTCCAAGGAAGTAAGCAAAAGAAAAGTCAAGAAGTTGACACAAAGATTTTTATGGCTACACTATGTATGAGGATAAACTAAACATCCCAAATGGTCCAAACAGAGGAAAAACTACCATAGCTATAAAAAAAATTATAAGTATAGGAAGTACTAATATACAGAAATGCACTATGAAATGTTATGTGAAAGAAGCAAAAACAAATAATCAACACAGAGTTTAAATACATGTAATGTACACACAGACCTTAGCAGGGTTTATAAGATTTTAAACAATATAAATAAATTATAATGCTCTGTCATATTTTTAACCAATTGAAGTTGTAAGTTATTGGCATTATGGGACATAAGTAAAGGACAATGCCTTCGTTAAAGTGGCCTAGACCTATCTGTGTGTCTCAGATTGAATCATGTGTCTCAATTCTGGCATAAGCCTTTCAGGGGAACAACTGATACCTTACACATATAAGGGCCCATCAGGTGGCTGCTTGTGTGGAGGAAGAGCAGTTACAGTGCAGCATGCTAACAGCAGATGGTACACCTTTCAAAATTTTGTCATATTTTATTGTGCTTTTTGCTTTTCCCTGTGACTCATCTTCTCAAATAATTCTTTATGCTCTTTCTACTAATTTTTCTCTTTTATAAAATATCAATTAGATGCCCTCCTCCTTTTACTTTCCAGTGATATCACCAAAACCATGTCTGTATTTACTTATGCCTGGATTATTCTAACCCTATTTGGATGTACTGTTTCCTTTTTTTTTTTTAACTTTTTTTCTTAGATGCTGATTAAAATATTCTGCTTATCTTGTCATAGCTATATGGTGCAAAATATTATCTAACATATGACAAATTCCTCTCTCAATGGGTTTATAAACTAAAGGAAGAACATGCCTCATATTTGCAATTCACATTTATCTCTGTTTAGTTTCCATAATCATGTTTACTTTGTTTTAACACTTTCTTTAATGATACCCCTGTGTCTGACCCTTTATTTTCTGGCCTATCTGCCTATTCAGATAATCCACATACTTATGCTTTGCTCTCAGGTTTCACTTACTCCTTGAATTGGACCTAACTATTACAGCATACATTGCTTTTCCCTTTTCTAATTCTTCAACCCCCAGAAATTCAGAGAAAACAACATTAATTTGTGTGATAACTGAGTCTTTTACCTCTTTTTTAAAATGTTTCCTTAGTGAATAGTTAGTGAAATTAACTTCTTTAATTTATGTCATAGGCAGAGGAGGTTATTTTGTGCTATTTCAGAGGGATTTGAAAATTTTTCTGCTAGGAGTAATTCAAAGGGCCAATAATTGTAATTAGAAAGGGAAGATAACTGCAAGAAATGTTTAAAATTTCAGGCTTTGAGCATTAAGCATTTGTTATTGTGCAAATCTATGCCGATTAAATATGACTATGAAAGGCTCAGAAATATCTGTGTTTGTTTTTAAGTTAAAAGAAAAGAGAGTCTTCCTAGAGTTGTGCTGAGATTTGAGATTCATTTTCAGAGCATAGAACCCTAAATGATCCATGAAGAAAATGAATTTTGAATAGGAACAGAGGACCAGAAAAAGGAAGCTTAATGGGGAAAAGGAAAAGAATAGATGTTTGGATTCAGTAATAAAATAGATTTTAGTGACTGGTGGAAAGATAGCTTGCATACATTCATTTTATTGGCCTGAATTATGACTCTGTATTTTATTGAATGAGTAATTCAATGTGTGACAGAGGAATTATGGATAAACTTTTTACCACAGGAGCAAACTTTTTGTTTGGTAATAATGTAAATGTTGTCAGGTGTAGCAATGGATTTATAAGCTAAAGAAAGTGAAAGGTTGCAAAAGATGAAAATCCATGTTTAGAAATCAGTATTAGAGGTCCTCAGGATTAATGAAAGCCATTAATGTGTGTGAGTAAAAATGTAATATAAAAAATAAAGAATGTGTTTGGGGACATTACAAGGCCTTAGAGATAGAATGAAATGGATATGAGGTTAGACTGTGTCTATATTCAAGAATAATCTAATTTTTACTTAAATATTTACTGAGAATCTTGTCTTACACACTATTCCAGAATTTGGAATATTAGTGATTCTTATTCTGGGCAAGAATGGTATATTGGAGTAAAACTAAGCCCCTGTCACTGAGAGACCCCCAAGAAACAGTGACTTAGAGAATATAAACATTGACCCATCACATGACAGTTCCAAAGTGAGTGGTCCAGGTCTGCCAGGCCACTCTGCTTCCAATGACTATTTAGGGACAGAGTTTCTAGAAAGTCATTGCACCATCATCTCCTAGAGCAGGGGTCGGCAAATATTTTCTGTAAAGGCCCAGAAGTAAATATTTTAGGCTTTGTGAGGCATGTGATTGCTGTCATAATTACTCAATTTTGTTTTGAAGCCCCAAAGCATCTATAGACAATACATCAACGAATGGATGTGGTTGTGTTCCAATAAGAACTTTATGGACATGGAAATTTGAATTTCATATAGTTTTCATGTACCATGAAGTATTACTCTTCTTTTGTTTTTTCAACCATTCAAAACTGTAAAATCTTTTCTTAGCTTTTGGGTAGAGGCCTGGATTTAGCCTGAGGCTGTAGTTTTCTTATCTCTGCCTTGGGCATTGCCAGCTGCAAGTCTGAAATATAGCCAGTGGGAAGAGGAGAGGGTTTTTGGAGACACACCCACTTCCTTAAGACCTTGGCCTGATTACAAAAAATATAATTTTTACTCCCATTTGATTGGTGATAACTGAATTACTTGGCTTTACCTAATGACAAATGAGGCTGCACAGACCTATTGTTTTTTTGTTTTTTTTAGACCTATTTTGAGGCAGGCACATGCTTGGCTACAAGCTTAATACTGTTGAAGGAAGGGGACAGATGGACAACTTTCAGTCTCTGCTTCAGAGTTGGCCCTTTTTGCTGTTATATTCTTCCTATTAGATGCATGTATGTGCACCCCAAACAGGACATAAAGAATTGAATCATATACATACATTTATTGTTTGTAATGGTAAAGCTAATTCAGGATGACTGAGGCTACAATAGTTTTCTAAACATAAATAAGTTGGTATTTAGGGCACAGTGGTTAATAGGGAAAAGAGAAAGCAGGGAGATTAAGATTTATAGATGAAGGATAGTAAGAATCTAGACTCAGAAACACTTCTTTTTAGCCACTTAGTTTGTCACTTTGTTTTTCTGACCCCTTACTATGTAGTTCTGCTACATGCACAGAACTGATGTACTTCAGTTTGAATCTCATATTCCCCAATTACTAAACATTTGATTTGGACACCCTACTTAACTCTTCTGTGGCTCAGTTTCCTCATCTGTAAAATAGGGATAATAATAACACCAATATCAAAAGGTTGTGATGATGTTTAAATGAGTTAGAACTTGGAAAAATGCCTGGCAAATCTAAATGCTATTGTTTATCAGACAGCAAGTTAATGTAAATGCTTATTTTATTATTGCATATTATTATATATAAAGAGATTACTACACATATACTTATTCATATATTTATCTATATTTAGTATTATGTTTATATAAACCTCTTCCATTTCTCTGTGTTCACCCTGTATCCACTCTATGTATCATCCCTTCTGTGTTCTGCTAACTGTTCTTTGTGTGTTTTATTTTATTTTATTTTTTAGATCAGGGTATTGGTTTTGAAACGTCACAACAGGGAATGTCTGAAGAAGTTTCAATCCAGTTTGAGAGAATTAATCTCTTCACAAGAGATGACCTGTATTCCATTTTAGAAGAATTGTGGCAAGATGATGAACAGACAGGGAGATGTGAGGAAAACCAGAACAAACATTTAAGTCATGTTGCCTTCATCAACAAGGATACACTAGCTAATGAGGGAGACTGTGAATATAATAAAGACATTAGGAAAATGTTTCGTGTAAACACATACCTTGTTCCTTCAAGAAAAAGACTCCATAACTATGACTCATTTCAAAAGAGTTTGAAGCCTATTGTAAGCCTATGTAATTATAATAGAAACAATGTAACAGAAAATTTTGATAAGATTATTGGATATGGTAATATCTTTACTCATATGAATTCTCATACAGAAATGAATGCTTGTGAATATAATCAATGTAAGAAACTTCTGAGTCATAAGCAAACTCTCATTCAACATCAAAAATTTCATGGGGAGAACCTCTGTTTATTTTCTAATTGTGTAAAACTTTCCACCCATAAGTCACACCTTTTTGCACATCAAAGGCTTTATACTGAAGAGAAACATCATGAGTGCAGCAAATGTGAAACAGTCTTCACTCGGAAGTCCCAATTTGCTGTACCTCAGGTTTATACAAGAGAGAAACCTTATATATGCACTGAATATGGGAAGGACTTTTCCCTCAACTCAAACCATGAGAAAACTCCTCACACTGAGGAGACTGATTGTAAATTCAGTCCACATGGAAAAGCCTTTATCCAGAAGTCAGATCTGTTCAGACACCAGAGAATTCATACTGGAGGGAAAAAACCCTATAATTATAATGAATTTGGGAAAAATGTCTCTCAGAATTCAAACCTCAATATACAGAAAAAAGTTCATACTGGCGAGAAACACTTTGAATGTACTGAATGTGGAAAAGCTTTCACAAGGAAATCAACACTAAGTATGCATCAGAAAATTCATACAGGAGAAAAACCCTATGTATGTACTGAATGTGGGAAAGCCTTTATCCGGAAGTCACATTTTATTACACATGAGAGAATTCATACTGGAGAGAAACCTTATGAATGCAGTGACTGTGGAAAGTCCTTTATAAAGAAGTCACAGCTCCATGTGCATCAGCGAATTCACACAGGGGAGAATCCCTTTATATGTTCAGAATGTGGGAAGGTCTTCACCCACAAGACAAATCTCATTATACACCAGAAAATTCATACTGGTGAGAGACCCTATATATGTACTGAATGTGGGAAGGCCTTTACTGACAGGTCAAATCTCATTAAACACCAAAAAATTCATACTGGAGAGAAACCCTATAAATGCAGTGACTGTGGAAAATCATTCACCTGGAAGTCACGGCTCAGGATACATCAGAAATGTCATACTGGAGAGAGACATTATGAATGCAGTGAATGTGGGAAAGCATTTATTCAGAAGTCAACACTGAGTATGCACCAGAGAATTCATAAAGGAGAAAAACCCTATGTTTGCACTGAATGTGGGAAGGCCTTCTTCCATAAGTCACATTTTATTACACATGAGAGAATTCATACTGGAGAGAAACCTTACGAATGCAGTGATTGTGGGAAATCCTTCACGAAGAAATCACAGCTTCATGTACATCAGCAAATTCACACAGGAGAGAAACCCTACAGATGTGCTGAATGTGGAAAGGCTTTTACTGACAGATCAAATCTCTTTACACACCAGAAAATTCATACTGGTGAGAAACCCTATAAATGTAATGACTGTGGAAAAGCTTTCACTCGGAAATCAGGCCTCCATATACATCAGCAGTCTCATACTGGAGAAAAACATTATGAGTGCAGTGAATGTGGGAAAGCCTTTGCAAGAAAATCAACACTAATTATGCATCAGAGAATTCATACAGGAGAGAAACCTTATATTTGTACTGAATGTGGGAGGTCCTTCATCCAGAAGTCACACTTAAATCGACATCGGAGAATTCATACTGGAGAGAAGCCCTATGAATGCAGTGACTGTGGGAAGGCCTTTATTAAGAAGACACAACTCCTTGAACACCATCGAATTCACACAGGAGAGAAACCATATATGTGTGCTGAATGTGGAAAGGCCTTCACCATCAGATCAAATCTTATTAAACACCAGAAAATTCATACTAAACAGAAACCCTATAAATGTAGTGACTTTAGGAAAGCCTTCAACTGGAAAGTACAACTCAGTATACATCAGAAATCTGATACTGGGGAAGTAGAATGCTCAGTGCCACAATCATGGTGTGGGGATAAAAGTTTTGAGGAGCTATAGCTTGACTAAGAAGCAAGAGGTAACCAGTCACTTTATCTAGTCAGAAGTATGAATATCTGGATCTCACAGCTGACGGCCAGTTTTATACATATGCGGAGACACTCTGGAGAAAGTGTTTAAGCAGTGTTTAATGGCCATGCTTGGTTACTTGGGATTGTCAAGCCCCTGCAAATAGTACATTTGGAAGGAGATAACTTGGCAATCTTTCTTGTTTCACATTTTGGATAAGGAGCTTTATAAATCAGGGCTGTTGAGTTTTTCATGCCCTGCATAGCAAAAATATTCAATGTTGACCAAAGGAATTTCTTAATGAACAGTGTTCTAAGAAAAATTTTCATTGTCCAAGCACCCTAAGGACACTGAAATCAAGGCAACAGTATAGACAATTCAGGTCTATAATGAAGAAAAGCTAGACGTTTTTGTGAAAATTGACATTAAACGGACAAAGAAGGACTCTACTTTTTTTTCCTTTGGGAAGTCAGTATTATTTATTGTTTATAATGTTTACTAGTGTGTGGAAATTTGGATTCGTAAATTTAAAATTAACAATTTGACTTTGAGATTGGCAAAGCAGAACCACAGACTTACCTGAATATTCACAGGCATCTTTAAGTAACCAATGTGTTCCCTCGTTTACTAATTCCCTGCCATGGCAGCAGATAACTCATGGCCAAGAGGTATAAAGTGCTCCCAGCCTATATCCCAAAAGTGATCAATGATGTAAGCAGCACCCCATAGACTACCTGTCACACTAGAACTAGCCCTGAGATCATGGAATTTAGCTGCAGGTTACAGATTTAGCACTCCTGATTCTCAGCATCTTCCACAGAAACCCCTACTTTTTACTGATTTCTGTTTGAAAAAGAAACAAATTAAGAAAATGAGTTTTAAAACCTAGAATTCTTTCCTTCGAATTTCGTTAATGCATTCTCTACATATTTATTATTACATACTAGGTTATTATGGGGCAATTGTCTTGCATTTGAGCTTGTATTCTTAGAAGATAGCTGCACATTTGGAAGAGTACTATTTCCTTTCAATCTCTACAAATTAATCAATTGTTTTCAAATCCTCTATATTCTTAAATTCTTAATCCTCTATATTGTATCAGATACTAAAAGAATGTGTGTACTAATCTCCCAGAATAATTGTGAATTTGTCTCTCTTTTAGAGCTACCAGTTTTTGTTTTATATATTTTAAGTCTTTGTCTTTACATATATTCATATTTAGAATTGTTATACTCTTTCTGGTTAGTTGAAACAATCATTATAAAATATCTGTTTTTTATCTCTGGTGGTGCTTTTTGTCTCAAAATTTACTATGTAAGATATTAATACAATATGCATACTTCACTTATTAAAGGCTAATGTAAATTAGTACACCACTTTCTGTATAAGGTGAAGAGTTAGAACATTAACTTTATTTCCTTCTTGACTTATATGGTATTGGTAGCATGCATTTTAATTCTGAATGTAGTTGAAACACTCAATCATTACTGTTTCAGAGTCAATATGCATTTAAATTAATCCATATATTTACCATTTTTGTTACTTTTTTCCCTTCTTGAATTTCCTTCTAGAATCATTTTTTTTTCTGACTGAAGAACACCTTTTAGTATTTCTTTTAGTGTATGTTTGCTAGTGACAAATTGTTTTCATTTGTTGGAAAATGTCTCAATTTTGCCTTCATTTTTAAAGGATGTTTTTACTGAGTATAGAATTCTAAGTTGGCAGTTATTTTCTAGTATTTTGAGATATTTTGTTTTGATTTGTATTTCATTGTTTTGTTGAAAAGTAAGCTTTCAATCCAGTTACCTTTGAAGGTTATGTTTTTTTTAAATTATTCTTTCCTCTCACTCCTTTAAAATCTATGTCTTTGTCTTAGGCTGTCAACAGTTGGACAGTGATATGCTTAGGTATGATATTCTATGTATTTATCCTGCTTGGGGTTTGCAGTGTTTTTTAAAATCTGGAGCTTAATGGTTTTTTCTTTGGGGTTTTTTTTTTTTTGCACATTTGGGGAAATTTCTAGCTATTATTTATTCAAATTATGCATTTACTTCATTATGTTCCTCTCCTTCTCCTAGTGATGACCCCATTGTCTAGATCCCATAGTATTTTTCTGTTGACTATTGTTTCTCTTGGGTTTTGGTGATGTCTTGTCTTCTCATATACCTGGTGCTTTTAAGTGAACTGCTTAGACATTATATATTAAAAATTGTAGGTATGATTAGATGACCTGGATATCTTTCAGAGAGGATTTCCTTTGCTTCTAACAGGTGACCAGCCTAGGAACATGAGCAATCCCTGATTGCCTTCATCCAATCATGTACTAAGATTATTCGAAACTGGGCTGCAGTCCCTGTGAGGGCTTGTTTTTTTTCACTCTTATTCTTAGGGGATACCCACAAGACTTAGGACTTTGGGAGATTTATCAGGACGCTCCTCCTTAGAGGGAACTTAATTCTACTATTTGTCCCTTTAGTCCCATGAGTTTGTCAAAAAACTGTCGTAAGTTTCTCTTGCCTAGCATTTAAGAATTAGTAAACAACTCTTTTTAATAAATAGTTCCAAATTCCAGAGGTTATGTCTTTAATCTTATTCTTGCAGTTTCTCACTTCCTTGGTAGCTCTCCAGTGCTGTCACAAAGCTAAACGTTTTTAATATTTTCTTCCACCTTTTTTAGTTCTCAGAGGGAGTACTGGTACAGACCACCTACATTGCCATTAACATAAGTTTTTAATTCACTGAGATAGCTGTTGCTACTTAAGGAATGCAGAGTCCAGAAATACATATTTTTAATTACCAAAACTCTCCAAACTTTCCAAAAAATGAAAGTGCTCTGATTTGCAACATGACTTTATTACCAATTTTTGCTGCTAAAAGTTAAGGCATTCACTCTTTTGTTAAACACTTTATAAACTTTGATACATATGAGAAAATTACTTCTGGTGGTGTCAGATTTTATTATGGTAGCTGCCAAATTTTAGCAAAAGGAGGAGATTGACTAAGAGCCTCTCAGATTCCTTCTTTGATAGTATGCCCCCCCCACCCATTGGCTAATTAATAGAAAGTTGAGTTAATGAAAACTGGTGGCAAGAGCCCAGCAGTTTGATTCTCAACTTTTTTTTTTTCTCTATGTTGGGGGTAGGAGTTTATTAATTTATTAATTTATTTTTGCTGTGTTGGGTCTTCGTTTCTGTGTGAGGGCTTTCTCTAGTTGTGGCAGGCGGGGGCCACTCTTCATCGCAGTGCTTGGGCCTCTCACTATCGTGGCCTCTCTTGTTGTGGAGCACAGGCTCCAGACGCGCAGGCTCAGTAGTTGTGGCTCACGGGCCTAGTTGCTCCACGGCATGTGGGATCCTCCCAGACCAGGGCGCAAACCCATGTCCCCTGCATTAGCAGGCAGATTCTCAACCACTGCGCCACCAGGGAAGCCCCTCAACTTTTTATTCTCAGGTATATTTTAAAAAATACAATTCTACATTACCAAGCCAAAAAAAAAAAAAGATACTTTACCTTTCGTAAACACACAATTAATCTCTAGGAGAAATGAAGAGTGTTTTGTGGGCCTCCATGTATCTCAAGGGATACTTGGGAATTGATTGAGGAATGGATGATGGAAAATTATCAGTGGAATATGAGAGCTAAATCTTAAGTAGGTAAACCCCAAGGTCGGTATAAATTGATTGGGGGAAATGTGGAGTATAGACTTGGGAAAGTAGTGTGAGTTAGCCATATCATTTTTTTTTTTAACGTCTTTATTGGAGTATAATTGTTTACAATGGTGTGTTAGTTTCTGCTATATAACAAAGTGAATCAGCTATACATATACATATATCCCCATATCTCCTCTCTCTTGCCTCTCCCTCCCCACTCCCTACCCCACTCCTCTAGGTGGACACAAAACACTGAGCCAATCTCCCTGTGCTATGCGGCTGCTTTCCACTAGCTATCTATTTTACATTTGGTAGTGTATATATGTCCATGCCACTCTCTCACTTCATCCCAGCTTACCCTTCCCCCTCCTCATGTCTTCAAGTCCATTCTCCACAGCTGTATCTTTTTATGACAGCACTATAATACAGTTCACTTGTATTTACAGCAAAACTATTTTAAGGCAGTTTTACAATAGAAATTTTTAAATTAAAAATGCACTTTATATTAATTTTTCAAAAAGGAATCTTGTTCTGTGAATTCAGTAAATGTAAGAAAATGGTCACTTGGACCAGTATTTAATTATACATCAGGTAATTCATAGGGGAGAGTACTTTGATTAAATGTGGGTAGGGCTGCATTCACAAATCATACTTCATTACAGAAACTCATTTTGGAGAGAAAAACCTATAAAAGCAGTGACTAGAAAACACTACACCTGGAAGTTATCAGAAAATTTCTGCTAGAGGAAGACAAATGCACTAAATATGGGAATAGCTTCATTCAGAAATCAGTTTTCAGTATTCTGTATTATACACAAGTAAAATTGTGTATTTCTTAAAAGTGAGAAAGTATTCTTACACAAGTCAGAATTATAAATTATTAATTACAAGTTATTCATACTACAGAGAGGCCCTATGATATTGTATATTGTATGTTATATGTCAAAAAGTCTTTGTCCATGAGTTACACCTTACTGGACATCAGATAAATAATTGAGAAAAATAAGTCTTCTAAGAATACATCATTTTCTTAAAATGTCACAAAATTCATAGTGGGAGGAAACTATATATTTGATACAGTGGAAGAAGCCTTCCTATAGAAGCAAATTCCTCAAGAAATATGATTCCTCTTGTTTGTTGCTTTAATTTCATGCCCATGTCTCTAGAGCCAGTGGGGACAAATAGGTCAGTCCAAAAATCTCCTTTCTTTTAATTAAAAAAAATATTTAAAGACACACATGTGCACACACATAAAACTTTATATAAATGTGACATAATATATTTTATCTCTTGAATTTTGTACTTTCTCCATTCTCAGCCACTCCAGCCACCAACAGTCTGTCAACAGATAAGCAATGCTGATGAACTTCTTTTATTTTTCTTTATACTCATAACCATATGTAGACACATTAATATGTTATCTGTGCACACATATATGAGTGTGTGTTTCAATTGTCTTAATATGGGATTATACACACATTTTTGCATCTTTTGCACTCAACAGTACTTTAACCAGCTGAAGACTCCATGGTGTGGAATGCCATAATTTGTTCAACCACTTTGCCACTGTTTATTGACATTTTTATCACTAGGAAAAATGATCTGATAAACATCTTCAAGAGCTGACATAGCATAATAGGTTAGTGGACAAGCATAATCATGCCCTTACCTACTGGAGCTTTTTTTTCCCCCTGTAAGAGTGAGATTGATGGATTGAATTGTGTTTTCTTATTTTAATAGATGTTGCCAGATTTCTCTAGAATAAGACTAGCATTTCATATTTCTAACATTAGTATAAA